TACAGCATACATAAAGACATGACATTGTTCTTACATCACTGATTTTTAACATCAGTTTACTCAGGATGGGATTCTTGGACACTTGTAGTCCACTTGTCTTCACTGGACCATTTGAATTCACAATGAGAAAAGCAATCTAAAATTAATTCAATTTTCACATATATTTTTCACAGTTCCAATGAAATGATAAAATATTTTTTCAATGTTGTTGACATTGGTATTCAAAAGTGTTTACAACTTGTGTTCAACATATTGATGTTCTGCATTTGCTTTCATCCTAAATTTCACATTAGGTTTGATAATGGTCAAATTGTCAGTCCTAAGGAGGTGTATATTATTTTCAAAAAGGTTCTTGAAAGAATGGCTCAAATTTAATGGAATTAAACATTCGTGAGTATAATCATTTTACATTAATTCTTTGAAACCGTGCATGAGTAACTTGAGACGCAGGACTTGATAATACTGGCAAATCCAGCTGGGACCAGCTGAAATACTCAGCAGTTTTTGTTCCCTAATGTTACCAAAAAAGCTTGTGTTTCCAATAAGTGGATCTGACGAACTTAAAGCATCATGGCACTTATCACCCATCTAATGGCCGGCAAATATATGTTATACAATAAATCCCTTCTCCTCTAACATGGTACTATTGCCAAACCTAAACAGTTTACCAGCGCTGGGAAATGGCTGGAATTTAGATGGAATGGTTTTTGCAGCCCCTGATGATACTCTAATGATACATACAAAGCCATCACTAATTAAGAGGATCACACAAGACGATTAGATATCCTAATACCTCCATCCACTATAAAGGCTGACAACCGATGGTGGAGATGAAAGCTTTCAACACAAGCAGATAAACGATTGGTTTTGCTCAGCTGTGAGATAAATTGCTATTATGAGTGAGTGAGTGAGTTGGGTTTAATGCTGTTTTGAACCGTATTCCAGTTATATCATGGCATGCTACTTATTGTGGGACGAAAGCCTGAAGTGATACAGGTTATAAACGATTACCACTTCGGTGAAACGCACGAGCACATGTATGGTGCTGACAAACCTAGAAACATAATCAGGGCGAACCAGGGTTGGAACCCACAATCAAAGGTTTTTGATGTGCCCAAGGGACGCAATTCTGCAAAGCAAATTGCAGCAGCTTAGACGACTGGGCCAGCCAGGCACCCAGATTGTTATCATATGTTATAACGGTAAATTATACATATTGTGACGGCAGTAGCAGTTTACACTTTAAGGTTGACAAAATAATGACTACATTCTTGAAACGAAGTGTTAGGTAGCACTGGAAGAAGAGTTTTCCAGGATCTAAATGAGCTGCTTTAGCATCAGTGAGATAAACGATACAATGGTTAAATGATTCATGCAGTATTTGGAATATATAACATAAAATAAACGGAGAATTAATCCAACCGACACTGGCAAACAAAAACCTGCAAAAACTGTAGTGATTTTTATCCTGAATTTATAACATTTTTAAAACGTTTTTGCTATATTAATACATCTCAGAGGGATGCAACTTCTATAGAAAGTTAACATTATAATTGATTTGTTATTCATCAAGTCGGCGCATCTGTTTTCAATTCCTAATTGTACAATGTTTCAAATACTGATAGGATCCGATTCAGCATCCATTTAATATTGATGCTCCTGTTGTCACAGCGACTGATTTGGGACACTCCTTTGACAGAAAATCTCATAATTTAATTAAAGTAGACTATTATTAATTTCAGAGTCAGTAGGGCTTGAAATGTGGTGCTTCTCAACTTACTGTGGAGTGAGTGAGTGAGAGAATTGGGAGTAGCAGAATATTGAACACTATTTTAGTCATGTCAACAAGCTTGTCACCTGAAAGTGGAAGGAAAGCTGGAATGTAGGAAGAGTTTTGGCGGTATACTGTATATCTTGAAATTAATAGCAGGGTGAAATTAATGTGAAAAATGTGTGCTCTTTGTTTGTGTTAATTATACTTCGTATTTATATCTCAAACAGACTGTTGACAAAAGGACCTCCCCTCGTGACCTTCATGTGAACGAACAGGTGACAAGAAAGATTTAAAATTTGAATTTAAACATCATTGGACATGATGATTTACCAATTAACTTGTATTTCCTGTGATGCTAAGTATGTTTGACATGCAGATGATTAAATAAGATTACCATGTGTATTTTCTTGTAATCTAGGCTGGAAAGAGCGAATAGCAAATGCAGTTAATAGATACCCAATAATATAACATCAAAGACTTTGGATGCAATGATTGCATTTAATGTCAAGATTTACAGTACCACTTCGTAAACTCACCAGCAGGGCATGGTGGTGTGAAACCAAGAGTCTGAATCAGGACAAATCTGCATTACAATGCTGACATTGACGTCATAATAGTTTATGTTTTGAGTTAAACAATGAGTCCATGTATAAATAAATTGAATGTCTCTTATTGATTTGAGTGTAAGAAAGTGTCCATTGTTCTTCTTGCAAACTATTGTTATTAAAACATCTCGAGATCTTGTATGTTTTGAGTTAAACAATGAGTCCATGTATAGATAAATTGAATGTCTCTTATTAATTTAAATGTAAGAAAGTGTTCATTGTTTTTCTTGCAAAATATTGTTATCACCACATCTCTCGAGATCTTGTATGTTTTGAGCAAAACAATGGGTCCATGTATAGATGCATATACTCAACAACAAAAGTTCCTGTGACACCAATATTTTGGTTTTCAATATTGTAGTACATGTATGGAATCAAGTCACAAAAATAGCAACTGCTACAGAAAAGCATGCATTCCATCCAAAAGTTGACTTTTATGCAAGCCCCATGCATTTCACTACCCAAAAATGGGTATAAAAACATGTGCGTTAACGAGATTAAATATGCATTGTTTAGCTTCGTGCTGACAACAACCACTCAGAAAAACAACAAAATTACGCAATTATTCAACATTACGAAATGCCACGCCTGTCCGAAAATGAGCGTCTGCGAGGCATTGGTATGCTTGAAGCAGGATCGAGTCAACCTGATGTTGCAAGACAACGTCCACAGAAACCCCATTTTGCGTTTATGGCAACGTTGGCAACAGACGAATGCAGTCAGAGACCATCCTCGGAGTGGCAGGCCACGCGTGACCAATAATCGACAAGAAAACTGGATTCAAACACACCTACAAAATCGAATCCAGTCAGCAACAGTGACTGCAAGGAGCATCCCTGGCCTTCGACGAATATCTTCACAAACCGTACGTCATCGCCTCAGATGTGCAGGGATTGTCGCCAGAAGACCCGCCAGACATCCCATTTTGACAGGAAACCACCGTCAAGCATGTCTACAGTGGTGCAGACAGCGTGGGGACAAGTTCTATTTACTGACGAGTCTCGTTTTCACCGCAGCCACAGCGATGGACTGATTTGAGCGTACCGACGTCGAGGTGAACGTTACGTCAATGATTGTGTCATGGAAGAAGATCGGTTCGGGGGCGGCAGCGTTATGGTATGGGGTGGGATTACAGCACAACAGAGGACCTGTTTGTTAGTGGTAGAGGGAAATCTCAATGAACAGCGCTACCGCGACGAGATAATCATCCCTGTTGTTCTACCATTTTTTGCATCGTTATGGCCCAGGCATTACCTTTCAACATGTCAACGCCCGGCCTCATATTGCTCGACTTGTTCAGAATTCTCTTCAACAAAACAACGTGAATGTCATCCCCTGGCCGGCTCGTTCCCCTGATTTCTCACCAATCGATCGCATGTGGGATGAGATGAATAGGCGCCTTCGACGTCAACCACGTGTCCCACAGACACTCCAGGAACTTCGAAACATGCTCCAGCAGATATGGACAGATATCCCACAGGACTTTGTGCAACGCCCTGTCCATTCCATGAGACGAAGATGTGTTGCTTGCATCGCAACCAGAGGTGGACACACACGCTACTGATTTGTAAATTGACATTTTGGCATGTTCATGGTTTTTTTATGAAATCACACATTTTCTGAAGTCAGTTTGGCAAATTAAACCATTTGAACACTTACAGGAGTCTTTTATCTGTTGCAAACCGAAATTGTTTCAGATTTGGTAAAAAACATAACTTTGCATTAAATCTTATTCAATGTCACAGGAACTTTTGTTGGTCAGTATATAATGTCTCTCATTGATTTGAATGTAAGAACATGTCCACTGTTTACAGAGCAAAATACTGTAATTACCAAAGTCTCGAAATATTTCCTACTCTTTATTTAGATTAGATTTTACCAATGTCTCATGACATATTAAGTTTCATCTTTATCTTGCCTTTACTCTGTCAACATATAATGGGAGGTATTTCTTCGAAGACTTAATACTTTAATGGTTTTTGTTTAAGTTTGATTAGGATGTAATATGTCTAAGACAACATTATACCTTAAAGTACTGTAGTTCTATCTCAGAAAATACTGTAGCAATCAGAATAACAAATAGAAGTCCTTAAATATATCTTGAAGTAATAACAGAAATCATTAGCAATCTAATTAGAAATTGAAACATAAAACTTTCGAAAGTTTGAAATAGATATATTGATTTAGAATAATAAGGCTAAATACTGACATTGCAAAAGTTGGTAATTATAGGACTTGGAAAGAGGTCTCTACTTACTTGCCACATCTTCAGGTAACATATTGCTCAGGTAACATGATCCCTGGGTCTTGTGTTTGTGTTGTTTATGTACTTTCTTCTTGTCTGTTTATGTACTCTTCTTCCATCTGTTGCTGTACTGTGTTCTTGTGTCTGTGGCTGTACTGTGTTCTTGTGTCTGTGGCTGTACTGTGTTCTTGTGTCTGCTGCTGTACTGTGTTCTTCTGTCTGCTGCTGTACTGTGTTCTTCTGTCTGGCTGTACTGTGTTCTTGTGTCTGTACTGTGTTCTTGTGTCTGTACTGTGTTCTTGTGTCTGTGTCTGTACTGTGTTCTTGTGTCTGTGGCTGTACTCTATTCTTGTATCTGTGGCTGTACTGTGTTCTTTCATCTGTTGCTGTACGTGTTCTTGTGTGTGTGGCTGTACTGTGTTCTTGTGTCTGCTGCTGTACTGTGTTCTTGTGTCTGTGGCTGTACTCTATTCTTGTGTATGTGGCTGTACTGTGTTCTTCCATCTGTTGCTGTACTGTGTTCTTGTGTCTGTTGCTGTACTGTGTTCTTGTGTCTGTGGCTGTACTCTATTCTTGTGTATGTGGCTGTACTGTGTTCTTCCATCTGTTGCTGTATGTGTTCTTGTGTCTGTGGCTGTACTGTGTTCTTGTGTCTGTGGCTGTACTCTGTTCTTCCATCTGTTGCTGTACGTGTTCTTGTGTCTGTTGCTGTAATCTTTTCTTGTGTCTGTTGCTGTACTCTATTCTTGTGTCTGTTTCTGTATTGTGTTCTTGTGTCTGCTGCTGTACTGTGTTCTTGTGTCTGTGGCTGTACTGTGTTCTTGTGTCTGTTTCTGTATTGTGTTCTTGTGTCTGCTGCTGTACTGTGTTCTTGTGTCTGTGGCTGTACTGTGTTCTTGTGTCTGTGGCTGTACTGTGTTCTTGTGTCTGCTGCTGTACTGTGTTCTTGTGTCTGTTTCTGTATTGTGTTCTTGTGTCTGTGGCTGTACTCTTTTCTTGTGTCTGTGGCTGTACTGTGTTCTTGTGTCTGTTGCTGTATTGTGTTCTTGTGTCTGGCTGTACTCTGTTCTTGTTGTTTGTACTGTGTTCTTGTGTCTGTTGCTGTACTCTGTTCTTGTGTCTGTGGCTGTACTGTGTTCTTGTGTCTGTTGCTGTATTGTGTTCTTGTGTTCTTGTGTCTGTGGCTGTACTCTGTTCTTGTTGTTTGTACTGTGTTCTTGTATCTGTTGCTGTACTCTGTTCTTGTGTCTGTGGCTGTTCTGTGTTCTTGTGTCTGTTGCTGTACTCTGTTCTTGTGTCTGTTGCTGTACTGTGTTCTTGTGTCTGTGGCTGTACTGTGTTCTTGTGTCTGTGGCTGTACCACGTCTTGTGTCTGTTGCTGTACTGTGTTCTTGTGCTTGTTGCTGTATTGTGTTCTTGTGTCTGTGGCTGTACTCTGTTTTTGTGTCTGTGGCTGTACTGTGTTCTTGCGTCTGTTGCTGTACTCTGTTCTTGTGACATGACATAGCAGGAATATTGTTGGCTGCAGCATTCAACAACATTTCTGATGTTTGATGCAATTCCCTATTTTGACCTTTTACCACATGTTCCATTTCTTGTTCAAGTGAACCATTGACTTGCCTTTGTATGTGTTTGTAATGGGTGCCACCGCTGAGGCAGGACAATCACCTTTTCACAAACACCTGGAATCATCACTGTTTTAAAGTGATTATGGTGATGATTTCATAAAAACATGCCTATGGTATGGTAAGAATCATATAATGGACTTTTAGCAGAAATTTCTTGTGACCATGGAAAGAGTTGTCTCTGTTATTTCTAAGCAAGTAATTATGATGATGTAAACAAAACTATGCCCATTGCACTCTCAGTCTTGTGGTTGTTACTTATTTCATATTTCATGCATTTCAACAGACTAATGTCTATGGTTAAACTATTTCATGGCAACAAGCTAGAGATTTAACACTGTGTAACACACATTTGCATTTATTACATGAATAATGCATGCCCAATTACATGCTAATTGAATCCTAAATATGACAAACAGCTGACAACATGACCAGTAAGGAGCCAGAGTGACATTTTCAATATGGCCTATACAACAAGTGGTTACAATTGAAACTATATCATATCCACAGGGAAGTGGCTGCTGTATCAGCAGATGTAGGAGATGTGTTTTGACAGAAGTGATTTGACTGGGTGATTTTATTGTCCCAGGTTTTAGTAATATTCAAGCATCATTACATTTGGAAGCACCAAGCATGGGGCTTCATACACTGTTCCCAGATATGCAGGTCTTCTGTATGACAGGTGTTTTTCTTATTGTTTCTTTGTTTTTTAAGGCACTCAACACTATTCCGGTGGTCTGTAAATTATCGAGTCTGGACCAGGCAATCCAGAGAATGACATCATAAGCATCGATCCACGCAATTGGGATACAATGACATGCATCAACCAAGTCAGTGAGGCTGACCAGCTGATCCTGTTAGTCATCTCTTACGACAAGCATGGGTTGCTGAATACCTACTGTATCCCGGATCTAACACCTAAACTAACAGACTAATCCTCCCCATGAAGATCTGGGTCTCAGAATTGTTCTTCAACAACCCATTCTTGTTGTAAGTTTGTAACAGAAGTCAAAAGTGTGTGGACAAAAGTACAACTAACCAGTTTCAGTGATAGATATCATATTAGTGATGTCATTTGATGGCAACTGATGATGTCACAATGGTCTGCAAAGTATTGTGATACAATTTGATTGCAGCGATATCTCCTGGGAGAAACCGTTTGACCTCACCCAAGCGATATCTGTGGAGGCCAGTTTTGGATTATAACGTTCTCATTGGTATGGTAAAAATAATTAGATGGCAACATAATGTTTTTACTTCTTAAAACAAACACTATATTGTTCATATCAACAAGTGTTCACATCTGGTTAAGAATACTATTGTAAACATGTCATACACATATTTCTTCTTCATAATCATCCAACCCTGTTGAGATAAATGTGATAATAACTATGCAAACCCAAATGGAGATATTATCCCATGTAACCTTTAACATAAGAAGATTAATCATTGTACAATGTATATAACGAAATTAATAGTAGTGAACTATTTTTTATGAGAACAATCTGTATGTTTTACCAATTAATCATGTCATGATAAAGACATGTAAATATTTATCACATGCCAGCATGTTTTTGTTTACATATTCATCCACTTGTGGGTGCATCATGGTTGCCTCCACCATTTCCTTCATTTGCCCAATAAGTAGTTCCAATCAAAAATAGCAAAATAAGTGTGACACATTGCTTCTGGACCATATTTAACTATTGAAACAAATATCAAAACTTATTCATCAATTCCCTTTTGGAAGTATTTGTTGTCATAATATCACTTGAGTTAGTACTTTCTAATTCCACTATGGATAACAAGAAAAGTTATCACATTATCACTATTCCCCGCCATGGGGCACACGAGAATTTTGTTTGTTCATATAGCAGTGAATATAAACTATAAAATAGAGTCCTATTAAGCCTTAAGAAGAGATGGGCACTAGGGTCACTTCATGTCATCAGAAAAAAATGATAAAATGTGAAATTAATACACACAAAGGGCCCTTCTCTGGAAAAAACATTTATTGGTGCCAATTCCAGATGTCCGTCTCTGTAAGTGACTCTTAGATAAGCTAACTTCAGTAGTTTCTTATCCCAACTGTAGACACTATGCACTTAAAATAACATGGATCAAGGGCTGTGTATGCTCAAAATCTAAACACAGTAAAATAATTTACGGCACCAATTTTTAAACTCAGTCTTGACAAGTATCACTTAGATAAGCATGCAAAATGTCGTTTATGTAACATCAGTCGTTTCTGAGAAACATTGTCCCCATTGCAGACACCATTGCAATAAGTTGAAAAGCAAGGAGCAGGGGCCATTACTTTGCAAAAACATAATTTATGTCATCAACTTTTGAACTCAGTCTTGACAAGTATCCTTTAGATAAGCTTGCAAACTATCATTCATGTAACTTCAGTAGTTTCTGAGAAAACTTGTCCCCATTTCGCGCAGTATGCACTTAGTTGAAAAGCATGGAGCAAGAGCCGTAACTTTGTGAGAAATGAATTTAAGATGCCAATTTCCTGACTCATTTGAAATGTCCAGTAATATTAGTGAGTAAAATTTCATTTCTCTGACTTATATAGTTTTTGAGAAAATTTGAGAAGCGGATGGACAGACGGAAGGAGGGACAGACTAACTCTGTTCCTATTTTCCCCCTCCCACTTTGTGGCAGGGAATGTAGCAATCTGTTTAACAGACTGGGATGACATACATACAACTCATTAAACAATATATCACGTGACTAACCATGGGTCTGGGTAGTCCTGTGGGTATCTGGGTCCTACTCAGGACCCACCCCACCCGGGTACCCGAGTTACCCATCCCAGCCTTACATACAACATTAGGTCCCAATAACAGGACCGCCTACATGGTCCAGAACTAGACTGTCTGTCTAGAAAGTGGAAGGTCCGGGGTTCCATCCCCGGCCGCTTGATACCTTAAGTCGTTTAAAGATGGAACTTGTTGTTACCCTGCCTGGCACTTGGCATTAAGAAGCTAAAACAAAGACTGGTCTGCTCGGAGTCAGTTTACTGTGTCTGAGTGTGGTGTTCATGTTAAACTGTGGAATGGTATCTCAGTAGGCTAGCACTATAAATCGGCATCAGTCCAGACAAGTACAAGCAGCCACACACAGACACAAGTGCATGCAAGTCGCTATATAAGTGCAACAATCTTGGACACAACGTTAAACCCCATTTGACACCACCACACCCCAACAAGAGCCCCTTTCAGAAGCCTATATACACCCTTGGCTCTAGAACAGCAATTATGATACAGCTCAACATGTCATGACATAACCAGTTTGCCGAAGCGTAACACACTCTTTGATAGTACCATTACATTACATGCATAGATGCCAGGAAAGATCCAAGACATTTTATTGACATCAACATCTTAACATCACCATGATCACCAGTCTCCCTTTTGAACATGGTGTTTTCTTGATAACCTCTGTATAATGGGGTAATTTTACAAGGAAACCTAACAGAATCTAAAAACGGCTTCAGCTTTGATACCTACCTCTTAATGTACTTAAGATTGGCATGTCTCTATAATCTCATGCAAGGAATCTACACCAATTTGGACACTTGGGTTTGATTAAACTCAGGTTTGGCATTTCTCTCTATTAAAACATTCCTGTTTTCTTGTCAGATTGAAAAACACTTCAAAGGGAGATAACTCTGTTCAATGTAAGGTTAATGTCTATATGTCTATCTGTCTATCAGGCTCTTGCAGCAAGTCTATTACTTAACACAAAGTGATGACATCTTATCGTATATACAAGCCCCTTTCAACACAGAAACATTGACAGAGAAATAAACACATTGGGGATGTGATTTTGGCAGGGTGTGTTTTTCACACCATTACTGACACAACAGTTGCCAGACAATTTATGTACTTATATATAATCAGAGCTCTGGTAAAAAATTCTCGCTGGTGAACGTCAGTTTTCAAACTGACATCACCTGAAGGAGGTTTAATGATGTAGATACCCCTTAATGTCAGGTTCTGAACAGAGAAGGCACATGCAAGAGGATCATTCTGGTTTACGTGGCTTGTGGAGTTTGGCAAAAAATGGATTGGAATGTCCAAGTTGGTGTATTAAATCTTGAAGATACTGAATGATGATACTTTGAAATAGTTCTGTAAAGCTCTTTTCTGTAGGTCTCTTGATTAAATATACTGATTTTGCATTTGATATGTTTGAGTTTTCAACAATACAAGTTTGGGTTTTCAAACAAGGATTTTTTAACTGTAAAGATCACCGACTTGCAAGTTAAAAAAGAAGCTTTACTGCAAAGGTGAACTATAAAAATAAAAACATGTCACACTGGAATTCCTTTTTTTTTTCTATCTGGGTGAGTGAGTGAATGAGTTGTGTTTAACACCGTTTGAACAGTCATTTTCTGTATGTAGTGTAAGTACTATGCAAGAGATGTTTCTGATGACATTATGGTAAACAAAGCTATATCAACATCAAAGGTTTATTGTATGCTTTGTAATACAAACACTACATACTAAGTTGATTGTGAAGTCTGCGAGATGCCAGTCATTACACATATATGATGATCGCCATTTCTTTATCATGTTTCATACAGTGTTCCTGTCACAAAATTGAAGGCCTTTTCAAGGCTCGTGCGTGGAGAGCTAAGGCCCTAAAAATGAAATACACATTTAATTGTTGCCATGTACAACATTTGTGTCTTTCTGGCAAAGCGTGACATGGTGTGATTTGAAAGGCTAGGATTAAAAAAACGACTTGATGTATTCCAATGAGCCACTGGGGCTAGTGATGAAAGGGTGTTCAATCTTATATGTCATGACTTCTGTTGTGTGCATGCTGCTCATGGTCTTTCGCTTGTCATCAGATTTACTTTATACCACGACCACTGAGATACCATGCCACA